GATGGATAGACCCTGTAATTATTATATAATGCCCTTCTTCATCTCATGTTACAGCCTTTAATTTAAAGTCTAGAGTGTCTGATATCAGTATGGCTACTCCAGCTTTCTTTTGACTTCCAGTAGCATGATAGATGGTTCTCCATCCCCTCACTTTCAATCTGAAGGTGTCCTCAGGTCTAAAATGAGTCTCTTGTAGACAGCAAATAGATGGGTCTTGTTTTGTTTTGTTTTTTATCTATTCTGATACCCTATGTCTTTTGGTTGGAGCATTTAGTCCACTTACATTCAGTGCTATTATTGAAAGATATGGATTTAGAGTCATTATGTTATCTGTAGGTTTAATGCTTATAGTGGTGTCTCTGGTGCTTTGTGGTCCTTGCAACATTTCACTCAGAGTTCCCCTTAGAATCTCTTGTAGGGCTGGTTTAGTGGAGATGAATTCTTTCAGTTTTTGTTTGTTTGGGAAAAGCTTTATCTCTCCTTCTATTCTGAATGACAGACTTGCTGGATAAAGGATTCTCGGCTGCATATTTTTTCTGTTCGTCACATTGAAGATTTCCTGCCATTCCATTCTGGCCTGCCGAGTTTCAGTAGATAGGTCTGCTACTACCCTTATGTGTCTACTTTTGTATGTTAAGGCCCGTTTATCCCTAGCTGCTTTCAGAATTCTCTATCCTTGTATTTTGCAAGTTTCACTATGATATGTCATGCAGAAGATTGATTCAAGTTATGTCTGAAGGGAGTTCTCTGTGCCTCTTCGATTTCAATGCCTGTTTCCTTGCCCAGATCACGGAAGTTCTCGGCTATGGTTTGTTCAAGTACATCTTCAGCCCCTTTCTCTCTTCTTCTGACATTCCCATGATATGGATATTGTTCCGTTTGACTGCATCACTTAGTTCTCTAATTCTCCCCTCGTAACTCCTGGGTTTTTTATCTCTTTCTCAGCTTCCTCTTTTTCCATAATTTTATCTTCTAATTCACCTATTCTCCCCTCTGCCTTTTATATACCGAAGATTTTCAACAAGATGGGATGTCTTGCATTAAGCAGGCCAAGAACATTCCCATGCCTCTAGGCACCCAGTAGTTTCTAGGTGGAAAACAAGCCTGTTTTTCTCACTGCCTTATTTCCAGTGCCTAGCATATTGCCTGGAATATGGCTAGTAAACAAATGCTCAAAGAACCATTCTATTTCCTCATGTTGTTCTAAGTACTCTTAGTAATAAGTTATTTATATGTTAATTTATTCCTCCATGTTTGTTATGATCACCCTTGGTGTGGTTCCTGAAGTTGCAATTCAGAGTTCCACATGTAGTCACTTCCAAAGAAACAAAGAAATGAATCTTTATTTCCCACTTGAGGGTGGCTGGGCATCATAGCAAATGGAGCCCAGGGTGATTACAGAATATATTTAATAGGTCCCCTGATCCTACTTCTCTCCAAGTCTGCAGGCATCAATTTTTTTAAAGTGGGGGTGCCTAGTCAGGGGCACACATACCCTTTAGAAGATCCATGGATGGGCTTCAGGGTCTTTGGGATTGCTAAAATTGTGTACATAATTGTACATGAATTTTGGGGGGGAGAAGGTCCATAGATTAAAAAAATAATTTATATTATTCTTATTTTCCTTTTAAATAATAAAAGTAGTATGTTCACACTGTGAGAAAATTCAAACTGTACAAAATATCAAGTAAAAAAGTTCAACCAGCACAGAAGCAGCTCAAGCAAAAACCTAGAATTTGTTTTTTTCCACTTTTCACTCTTTATATCTTCAGTCTCTTTCCTGATAAGAGGATCACACCACAATTCTATTTGACAGCTGATTCTAATAATACAAAGTTATATTTCCATATCAGTACATATAGACCAACCTTTTTTGAAAAACCTTCATTTTGATATAATTATAGATTCACAGGAAGATGCAGAACATGTATAGAGAGGTCCTGTGTTTTGGGACCAATGGTAATATAATGCCTGATTATATCACAGTATCAAAACCAGGACCTGAGGTCTACAGGGCTTATTGACATTTCTCCAGTTTTACATATACCTGTGTGTGTGTGTGTGGTGGGGGGGGGGGTGGGGGGGTTCTATGCAGTTGTGTTATGTACTACTCATGTAACCACTGCCACAATGAAGGTACAGAACTGTCCACAATCATGTCCCTCCTACTATTCCCTTTATAATCACATCCACCTCTGTCCCTACTATCCCTAATCCCTGTCAACCACTTACCTGTTCCTTGGCTCTACAATTTTGTTATTTCAAGAATGTTACATAAAGGGAGCCATCAAATCTGTAGTCTTTAGAGGTTTGCTTTATTATTTTTTTTTCCACTCAGCCTAAGTCCCTGGAGATTTATCCAAGTTGTTGAGTGTATCTGTAATTCACTTCCTTTTATTGTTAAGCAATATGTGGTACAGTAGGCTTGTTTATAGATGTGCCCACTGAAAACATTTTAGTTGTTCACAGTGCTTGGCTATTGTGAGTGAAACTGCTATGAACATTAGTGTACAGGTTTTTGTGTGAACAGGTCTTCATGTCTTTGGGATAAGTGCCCAACAGTGCAATTGCTGGGTCACATGGTAAGCACATATAGTTTTATTAGACATTGCAAAACTATTTTGAGGTCTGTAGCTTTGTCACAGATTATTAAAGGGAACTGTGATCATAAGAAGGCTGAACTAACTTGACATGACCCAAATATGGCCTGGAACCCAGTTTTTGCTCCAAATTGTCATGTAAGGAAACTTCTCTTTTCTCATTCTTTTTTCTGCTGCCTCATAGGCATTTCACATGAAAACTTCAGCAACAGTTCTTTGAGGACATTCCTTACTTATCATCTACAACTCTGGTCCTAGGACTCCTCTAACTTCTATTCATCTGCAGTCTTTTCAACATCCATTGTCCACAGGAGAAATTCACAACCTCTCTAGCTCTCAAAGATTTTGACTGCATTTATCATTCTGTTCTTATTTATTTACATTGTTGACACTTCATCTACTGATTGTTAGTGTCAGCTCTGTTAATCCTATGTCTTGTAGACAATTAAGTTTTCACTTACTCTTGCACTGTGTTTTCCTATGTTCTCAAAATGCAGCTCGTTGAAACCCTTTGTTAGCTATCATCCTCTTTGCTTTAGGGAAAACTGAATAGAAAACAGCTCTGCTTAGGCTGGTGGCAAGAAAGGAATTTCTTAAGATAGAGAAGGATGATGATAAAAATTGATTAAAGTCAGGATAATGCAGTTTTTTAATTTCTTTTAAGTTAAATTTTCACAGGTGCTTCTTTTCCTGGTAGTGGCTGACATGAGAAATAAAGACACTAAGCAGCCATTTACAGATATAAACATGAAACATCCCAGAGATGATGAAGTAGATAGTTTGGGCTGAAAAGGGTAGTCTAATAGTTAATGCTCCCAGTCAGTGTCTTTGTTTCCTGATAATCAGCTTGTTTGATCCAACATATTTCTGGCCTGGGAGTTCATATGGCTTCATGTGACTCTGGGATCTAGCATATCCAATGATAACTTACCATCGGAGCCAGACAACTTGTGTTCTGGAAAGTACTTTTGGTTTGCTGCATCTGATGTATGCCAGATCCTCATCTTCGAGTCTTGTTAGGACTAGCCTGACAAATCCTTAACACTGAGGTTCTCTTTGCTTGCTCTTCATTGAGCCTTGACTACATTTCAGTGATGATGAGTGAAGGGCAGAAGGGGATGCTGTTATTTTCTTATTCCCTCTCTTTCTTTTCTTTTAAGCGAATGCATATCAAAAGCTAATTAAGTGCCACACACCCTGCTAAATATTTTGTGTACATTGCCTCTTTTGATGTTTATAGCAACCCCTATGCACTTTCTCCATGTCTGTCTTATTGGAGGCTTTCCCTCCCTCTACCACGTGTTGACTGGTCTTCCTGACATAGTGGCTGCTCAAGGCCAGTAGGTTATTCTTTAGTGCGCTGAACACTGTAGTGCACTTTTGGTGGAGGAATGTACTCAGAAGGACCACTTGAGCTTTGTTCCCAAACCTTTTATGGTTGAAATTAATGTAAATTGATTAAATGTCATGTAAAGTGATAATATATAGGTGGGAAAGAAAGATACTGTTTTTAAGAAAACGAACTTGAATGTTTAGAAAGTGCTAGGAATTTCCCCTAGGTATACAGGAGTGCTGATGTGTAGGGGCATTTGTACCCCAAGTTTTATTTATTGTACCCCTATTGTTTATTTCAAAAATAGCCAAATTATGGAAAGAGCCTAAATGTCCATTGACTGATGAATGGATAAAGAAATTGTGGTTTATATATACAATGGAGTACTACGTGGCAATGAGAAAGAATGAAATATGGCCCTTTGTAGCAACGTGGATGGAGCTGGAGAGTGTTATGCTAAGTGAAATAAATCATACAGGGAATGACAGATACCATATGTTTTCACTCTTAGGTGGATCCTGAGAAACATAACAGAAGACCATTGGAGAGGGGAAGGGAAGGAAAAAAAAAGTTAGAGAGGGAGGGAGCCAAACTATAAGAGGCTTTTAAAAACTAAGAATAAACTGAAGGTTGATGGGGGGTAGGAGGGAGGGGAGGGTGGGTGATGGGTATTGCGGAGGGCACCTGTTGGGATGAGCACTGGATGTTGTATGGAAACCAATTTGACAATAAATTTCATATAAAAAAAGTCTTAATAAAGGAATTCAGTAAACAAATTACTGTTTAATTTAGTATGAGGAGAAAATCTGGAAAGATTTTGCACTTAGACTACTTTACAAGTGTCTGCATGCTCTGTTTCTTGTTAAAGAAAGTAAAACTGGAAATTATAGATACATTATGGGTGTGGTTTGTGCAAGAAAGGAAATAAAAGGCTTTTACACTATTTCATAGGCTTGATGAGTGTTCATTTATATATGTTAAGTTACTGTAAAATGTTTAAGGTTTGTTTGTATCATTTTAGGACTCCCCCTTTAAACTGATATTTTTGCTTCTATAACTAATTCCAGGACTGAGTTATGAAGAATAGGAATCTGCAACTATATGATGGCATTTTATAGGTAAGGAAACTGAAATTTACAGATTATGTAACTTGTCTTCTTTTTCTAGATAATTAATGATACCGCAGTGGATATTGCAAAACTAGGATTTGGTATACATGTTCATATGTTGGGAAATTGCTTGTTCCTATATCAAGGTTTTTTTTAAGCCTTTATATAATATGCACATTGGTGCCTTACGTCATTTTTAATAGTGATGATAAATTAGCACATTATGACATTGTAATTAAAATACTTAAGAATGTTCAGTGAAAAAAAGTGCAGGTTATAAAGCCTATTTATAATATAGATCCAGTTTTGAGGAGAAATATCTATATATCTATATATCTACGCCTATCTATCTCTCTATATAGATAGATAGAGATAGATAGACATAGATACAGATCCAGTTTTGGGGAAAATATATATGCTTTAGATTATCATTACTATCAAATACACACATCTTCACATGAAATAGACCAAAGATATTTTTACGAAGTCTTAATGATTTTTTCTATTTCTGAGTAGTAAGAAAAGAGATCATTTCTTTATTTTGTTTTTCCATATTTTAAAAAATTGCCTCTGGGAATACATAATATTTTTATGATCATTTAAAATGTTAAAAAAAAAAAACGGTCATGGGCTCGATTTTTTTTCCTTCTCCCCCCACCTTAAAAATATGCTGATTGGTCTATTATTACAGTCATTTTAATAATGGTGGCATGGAATCAGGGGAAGTGAAGGACTATTCCACAATATTTTCCCTTTGTCTGGTCTTCTGGACAAATCGCTTTAAAAAACAGGCTTGCATTCTGACCTGCTTTTCTCTGATACCTGACAATTCATCTCAGATGTTTCTCTCCTGGGTCTACCAGTGTCTTATCAGTGCTGCGTTCTGAAGAATTGAATGAAGTATGAGTTGATTTAACAGAGCTCTGTCATCCTCGATCTCTATTATGTCTAAGATTATAAGAAGTCTCCTGTCTTGTGACCTGGAATGCCCCACTAGAATGAATAATTCACCATCTAGTCTTCTCCAGTCACCCTATTTATGCCTTACCTGTTTTAAAACGGAAGTTTTCTAACAAATGAAAAAATATGGGTAAATAATTTTTCTGATTTTATTTCTTTACCCTGCAGTAGATTCCTGAGCAATATAAATGTGCAAATGAAAGCTGTCTCTTATTACTATCTGGCTTTCTCCGTGCAATTCATTTAGCTATATCTCTGTCTTTTCTTTTTGATGTAACAATTGCTGATATGAGGATGAATTGTAATGTTACTTGTCTGGAATCTGAGTGAAATATGCCTGAGGAATGTAATGATTAGGGTTGGGGGGGGTGTTTCTATGTGAAAGATGTACTCTTTTTTAAAACTCAGCATTGGTGAGATATTGCCAGCCAGTACATCGAGGTTTTAGTTAAAAACAAAGTCCTAGGTTATAGTTTTCCACAGAAACATGGTAATAATTCATTAAACTTTAACAATTTAATCCAGAAGTCAGTGATGGTGGGGGGCCTCTGTGTGAAGCATAGAAAAAAAAATCTCTCTGAGGTCTGGTGCAATTTTCTTGCTTTTAATCTGGTGTTCAGGGTGTTTGCAATCATCCTTACTTCACAGTTGGGAGTTTTTCCTTGGTGTTCTTGTAGATTGTACAAGGAATGATAAAACAGATGTTATCAGGCTGCATGAGAATCTATCTCTTACCTCGCCACAATAGGAGGTGAAGTACAGATGTTGTTTAATAAAGAACTTAAGAGACAGGTCAGCCTGTCCAGCCTGGATGAACACAAGGCTGTAATTGCTCAAGTGGGGACACGTGGTACACCCCAAAGAGGATTCTCTTTGACAGCTCCAGCTTTTCTGGCTGAGCCCTCTGAGAGGTGAGAATGATATATATCTGTGGATATATATTGATATGTGTAAGGATAAACAGGGAGGGTGGAAGGTGTCAGATTAGAGGGTCACAAAAGGTTTTAATTTTTCCTTTGTCTTCCAAATTTAAGACACTTATGGCATAAGAATCGTCCTAAGAGTTCAGTCTTTGACTTTTCTTGAGCAATTCAATACTCAGTGCTAATCCACCTGCCAATCAGCAATTTGGAAACAAATGGAAAATGTGAGAAGATGAATCAAATACTTTGCCCATTATAGAGTTTTCATGAGCAGAGAACAAGAGGGAGTTCACTTGATCTCTCAGGACAGCATCTCAAAACTCCTGCTAACAATAAACTGATCCACAGAAGCCTGATTCTACTCTTGGTCTAGCAGGTGACATAGGCTCCCCAGTTGTCCAAGTGCAGGGCTTGATCCTTTCCAATGATTAGACACTTGTTGCACTTTGGTGGGCAAGCAAATCACGTATTAGCATAAGAAGAGCTCTAAGAAAAAGAATTGTAGAAGTTAAGTTTCATTTTTTTCAAGTACTGTCACTTTTTGTCTATCTTTTAAAAATAATATAAAATATTTTTACCAAAAAAAATTGAAAAAAATAAAAGAGAAATAAAATATCTTTGAGTTGTAATCCCATGATCCAATAGTAATGATTGTTAACATCTTAGTTGTATGTTTTTCCGTACTGTTTCGTATGCGTGTGTAAACTACCCCCTCCACATACACTGTAACTTTTTAAATTAATAACCATATGCATCACCACATTCATGTTGTTAATAATCTGCTGCTTTCACCTGATAATATCACAGTCTTGTTTTATGTCAACATGTTAAGCTTAAGCATAGTAATCAATTGTATGGATTTATCATTAGTTATTAAGCTGATTCCTTATAGATAGACATTTAATTTGTTTCCACTATTCTGCGATTATAACAAACTATGATGAATACCTTTACAATTTTTTTTTGGTACACATTTAACAAATTATGTTAGAAAATGGAATTTCTGGGAAAAAAATGATAGCTACAGCCAAACTGTCACCTAAAGATGTTAAAATAATTTATGTTCCTGCCAGTAGCATATGAGAATCCCTGTGTTTTCTCGAACACTTGCCAACATTAGGTTTTGTGTTTTTGTTTTTTTTTTTTAAATCTATATTAATCTGCTAAATTAAAAATGTTATCAGTTTGTTGTCCTGATTGGCATTTATTTCATTACTAATAAGATAGAGCATTTTTTATATGCTGGTAAACATTTAAATTCTTTTACCATTTGCCTTTTCATGACTTTTGCTCATTTTTTTTCCCTTTTAGGCTGTTTATATTTTCCTTATTGATTTTTAAGTTCATTATGTATTTTTTTTATGTTTATTTATCTTTTTTTTGAGAGAGAGACAGTGCGAGCCAGGGAGGGGCAGAGAGAGAGAGAGAGAGAGAGAGGGAGATACAGCATCTGAAACAGGTTCCAGGCTCTGAGCTGTGAGCACAGAGCCCAATGCAAGGCTTGAACTCACAAACCGTGAGATCATGACCTGAGCTGAAGTTGGGTGCTTAACCTACTGAGCCACCCAGTCACCCCTGAGTTCAATATGTATTAAGCACATAAATTATTTTGTTATGAATTCTTTGCCATAGGCCCCCAAGTGTCAGTTTTTTAAAAACCTTGTTAGTGTCATTTTGGGTCAAATAGAAACTTTAAAATCGATATGTAATAGAAGCACCTGGGTGGCTCAGTCGGTTAAGTGTCCATCTCTTGGTTTTGGCTCAGGTCATGATCTCACAGTTCATGGGTTCAAGCCCTACATCAGGTTCCATGCTTACAGTGCAGAGCTTACTTGAGATTCTCTCTCTCTCTCTCTCTCTCTCTCTCTCTGCCCCTTCCCCACTTGTGTTCTCTCTCTCTCTCCCTCTCTCTCTCAAAATAAATAAATAAATAAGCTTAAAAAACTGTATGTAATAAAATCTATTCATCTCTTCCCATTATGATCTCTATCTTTGGTATAACTTCCAGCCCAAGATTATATCAATCTCATTGATATTTTCTTCTAGTGCTTTTATGATTTATTTGTTCTTATTTGAATCTTTAATCTATATGAAATGCTGCATACATTCCAGTATACAGCACTGGTTAGGAACTTAACCTTTTCTCCTTAAATGGTTAACTACCTTCTCCATCATCACATATTGAATTTTCCATAATTTCATTATTGTTTTGAGTTGCTTTCTTTATGAGATTATAATTCTGATACATACTGGGTCTATTTCTGAATTCACTCTTCTATTAATCCATCTACCCTTATACTAGCACCATACCTTTCCAAAAACTTTAACATAATATAGTGAGCAACCAAAGGGCATATCCTTTTGTCTACTTAGACACTGCACATCACCATCTTTCCATAGCAGTTGTGAATGCATGCCTGGACTTGAGTCCAACCCTGTCACTTACTACAAATATAATCACAGGTAAATTACCCACCTCTCTCAGATTTTGATTTCTTCCTGTGTAAAATGAAGAAAATAATACCTCACAGAGTTGTTGTGACAAGTGAAATAATCTGTGTAAAGCTCTTTGTGCAGTTTGGAATATAGCATATTCAACAGTAACTGTTTGTTCATAATAGAAAGACATTTAGGATGTGGTCCTTCTCATGGTTTTGCGCATGCCTTGATTGCAGAGATTAAGGATAAACATGAAAAGGCAGATGATTTGATGACGCGCCATAAGGTGAACACGCACATTCCAACCCTCCGTCTGTTAGGAGGCAGACTCAGGGCTGCTATGGCAGGTACAGAGGTGTGAGTAGGGCAGCTGACTGCTTAAGACATATTTCGCGGGGCGGGGGCAATGGCTTGATTTGGTCATCAGTGTCAAGGGATTGGTTCTCAGCTTGGTGGTCCAGTTGATCTAGAGTCAGTTCAGATCTGGAGTCACAAGCAGGAATTATATGGTCTCAGGTTATCTGATCTGAGAAGCTGCACAAGTCTGATGAAACAGGGCTGATTCAGATCATGTGCCCTGTCCAGAAAGCACGGAGATCTGCATGCTTCTGACCGTTTTTATAAACACGGCACATCCCTCTTCTCATATTTTGTCTACCGATCCTTATGATGTCCAAGGGTTCCTAA